CTCAGCCTCCGTCCGCCGCCCCGCCGCCTAGACCCAGCGAGGCCGCCACATTATCCCCATGTATTCACCTTCGTCCGGCCCGCGCTGTCCCCACAGCGCCCAAGGGGCGGGGGAGCTGAACCGGAGGTCATTTGCATAAGATATGCAAATTGTGGAACGGCCGCAGTGATTGGAGAGGAGCTTGATGACCCCTCCCCCTCCACGGAGTAACTTCAGCGTCCCGAGGGCCATCCGCCCGCCTAGGCTAGGGCCGGAGCGGGGTCTGCTGTGGGCCAGGCGGTAACTCTGGTTTATGCTGACCCTGCCCAGCGCTCCCTCCTTATCGCAGTGAAATTTGGAGAAATGGCCTCCAGGCGGGGAGAAGTGGAGCAGAAAGCTCTAGCTCTCCATATCTTCACTCAAAAGCGGTGGCAGACGCTCCTGGGATCTCGCTCTGGGCAGCCTTTCTCCCTCCTTCCTCAGTTTCCCACATGCCCGGAGGCAGAGTGTCTGGCTGACGCCCGAGGTGCACTGCCCCACTCCCCTTCTCCTCCCGCGGCCGCTGCAGACTCCCACCTAGGGAAGTTTTCTTTCCCCTCCCCCAGTTTCCTTCTGTCTTGACCGAGCCGAGTCGCCTCCCCGCTCTGTGTTCCTAGTCTGTACTAGGGTGCTAATGCGTTTTCCTGATTCCGTGTTTTGTGGGATTGGAAAAGGCAGCGTTGAGGTGCACATTTCTCAGGATTTAGGAAAGACTGAAGAATGAGGTCAATTTTTCCTCTTACCTGACTCTCCTGCTGCTCCCTCTGGATCAAATTACAAGTTCTCTAATGGGATTTTTGGAAGTAGGTAACAAGTAGCATTCTGCATCTAATTAACTGAGGTGGGGGTGGGATAAATCCCACCTCTTAGTCCAACAAGTTTCTGCTTATCTGCTCCTACCCACAAGAAATACCAAAAATTTCTCCTATCCTTAATCAAGCTATGTACCAGTAAGTAATCAACAAAATACTGCACTAAGCTAACCTTTCACGTACAGAAACATATATTGCTAGGTACTAGGTACGAAGCGGGGCAAAGATGTTTCAATAACAGCTGTTGATGGAAGATACAGGAATAAAAAAAAGATTAGGGGATGAAACAGACACAACAGTGGAGGACAACTCAGTGAATTTTGCTATAAAATCAAAAGCATAATTCCTTACATTTGTTTTACACAGTAGTTCTCAAAGGGTGGTCCCAAAACCAGCAATATCAGCATCATTTGAGAAATTACAGAAAATTCAAATTCTGAGGCCCCACCCCATATCTACTGAATCTAAAACTACTGCTATTATGAAATCGGAAACACAGTAATCTTTGTCTTTGCAATGATTTTGATGCACATTGATAGACCACTGGTATAACACTTTACAAATATTTTCAAATACATTTTTCACTTGAACCTCATAACCCTTTGATGCAAATAAGGAATTATTGGCCCTGTTTTATATATGAGAAAACAATTTTCAAGTCACATTGAATTGTGAGTTAAACATGTTTTCAAAAGTAGCACCCAAGGAATGGGTACAAATTCTTTAATATGTCACCTCTTTCTGATTTACCAATGACCTCTCTAACCATTCCTCAGTCTCCTTTGCAGACTTTTCCTCTGCCTGTCCTCTAAATGTTGGTGCTCCTCGGGTCTCTATCTTATGCCATCGTCTCTTTTAATTATGTATACTATCTTCAGTAGTGCTCTCAATTACCATCCTTACACGGATGACTCATAAATCCATAATGCAAGCCCAAATCTCTCCTGAGCCTAAGATCCACATAGCCAGTTTGCCTGTCTACCTCCTCCACTTTGATATCCCATAAGCAATTCCAACTTACTAGCCTGCATCTTACCTCCAAAGCCTGCTCTTCTGTTTCCCACCACTCTGTACCAAGCCAAAATACCCAGTAATAACCCTGGACTTCTCCCTAGCCCTCATCTACCTAAATTCTTCAATATGTCCTATTGTCCCTAGGGTGGAATTGTGTATCTTTCAAGTTACCACCTGATGTCTGTCATTCCTCCTTCCTCATTGTTCATCTTTCCCATCATACTCTCCATACCACTTTCTCTAATCAAAGTATGGAGAGAAAGAGAATGAAGAACTTTAAGAGCAAGGCAAGACAACTCCCTTTTAAAATATCAGTAGAGCCCTAGCCGGTTTGGCTCAATGGATAGAGTGTGAGCCTACGACTAAATGGTCCCGGGTTCAATTCCGGTCAAGGGCACACGGGCTCGATCCCCAGTGTGGGGCGTGCAGGAGGCAGCCAATCAAGGATTCTCTGTCATCATTGATGTTTCTATCTCTCTCTTCCTCTCTGAAATCAATAAAAATACATTTAAAAATTAAGAAATATCAGTAAAAAGGCCTTTTTCTGTGCTGATAGTGACAGTAAGCCACACATTAAATTTGATAATGCAATGTTTTCATATTATGCTTGATGGAAATTGGCCGTGAGCAAGTATGTTAACAACTCTTGCAAGCTCTCTGTGAGAGCTTAGTGGAGAGATAGAGTTGGAATTCTGTGGATTCAGGATCTTTATCCAGAGGATTAACTTTGATTTGTATGTTTGGTTGGCACAATACTCAGAGATTTCAAAAGCCAGTAGATTCTCTGCATCAAGTACAGAGAATGTGTGGAATTTTAGGACTTCTAATCATCAGAACTATAATTAATAAGTTTGTATTGTTTAAGTCACTGGGTTTTCAGTAATTTGTTACAACAGCAATGGGAAACTAATAAAATCAGAGTCACAAGAAATCAGTTTTCATCTGCGACAGCATCGTAAGCTGCATTGTACCAGCCATAATGCCCTATAACTGCAGCAGGTCCTGTCATAACAATCCCTGTCTTTCAAATGTTTACGCATTCCTGTTTTACTGGCATGCCCATTGGGAAAGAATTGGAGAGATATGCCTTCTCCCATATCATGTAAAATTAGGATGCCCTCTACAGAGACATATTAAACCGAGTAAAATATATTCTATTTCTTTGACGTCTCCCATTGGTGCAACTCAAAAACAATAAACTAGTCAAGCTGTATAGCCACTCTCATCTCTCCTCCCAACCAATGCTAGCCCAGCTAGGATCCTGAGCTGGGACTCAGCACTACTGCTAGCACTACTGTTACCAATCTCCAGGGTCCAAAAAAAGGAAAATAAAGAAAGACTTCTGGCAGAGAGATGTGGCAAGAAGTTAAACTGAGAAAGAAGATGCCTGGGAGAAAAACAAGATAAAGCAAAAAATAAAGGTAGAAGAACAGAACTTTTTAAGTAGGTAGAAGTGTTGCCCTGGCCGGGGTGGCTCGGTTGGGTGTCGTCCAGTGCACTGAAGGTTGCCAGTTTGATTCCTAGTCAGGGCACATACCTGGGTTTTAGGCTTGGTACCCAGCAGGGGGCATGCAGGAGGCAGCCAATTGATATTTCTTCCTCTCCCTTCCTCTCTCGAAAAATCAATTTAAAAAAATTTAAGTAGATAGAAATGTTAATTTTTTTAAGGCACAATTCACTCCTATGTGTCTCTAAGAGGCTGATCGATAGAAGATATATAGCATAGAGGTGAAGTAACACATATTTAACATATTAGTGTCATATGTGTATTTAGAAAGATTCTCTGACCAAAATAAGTAACTGGAATAATCGCATTTTCCTGTTTTTAGATATTAATTACATGACAGAAAAGTATTTCAGTTTGGTTAGAAAATAGCTTTTAGTACTATCAATTTTTGAGGCTAGTTCCCTAAAACCACAATTTTAACCAATATTCACCAGCAAAGGTGTCAAATAGAAACAAGTGTTTGAGGGGCTTTGTAGCTATCTTGGTACACCCACAACCAGCTGCCGTGTCCACTAAGTACCTTATTAAGAAAATAATAGAATAAATTGTGTGCTGTATTGGGCATGCTAATTCATAAACTTCAGATGAAAATGTGCTCTCTCAGAGAAACATCTTTTAAGAAGACAAAGTTTCCCAAATAGAATGAAATAGGCAGTGAAATGAACTTTAAAGATGCAGTTCTCCCACAGCCAGACAAATTTCAATACATCACAAACAAATTACAAATATCTTTAGGAGAAGAAGAGAAGGATTTGGCTTAGTGACAGACTGAAAAGTTCTCTTTCAGACAGATCAAGGACCTGGTCCCACTTAAAGAGCCTGGTTAAGCAGGAGGCTTGCAATTCTGTGAATCCAATCATCTGGATAATACAAGCCCTCCAACTCCCATTCCTCTCTGCAGAGTCAGCTTTATGTTTGTTTGTTGTTTTATTTTATTTGGGGGGAGAATGTGAATTTTTCTCAAATCTTAAATAACAAGATCATAACCCCACTTAGATTTCCCCCCAAACTTGCCAATTATATTGCTAATTCTAACAAGCAACTACTTTTCATTGGACTTACCAAATCAACCTTTTGCTGTAATGCTATGTAGACAGTGCATGTTTGTAGCATTGATTCAGATCATGGTTATAAGTACAGACTCCCAGGCCAGACTGCCAAGATTAATAATTCAGCTCTGCCATTTAATAGCTGTGTGACTTTGTGTAAATTAGATAACTTTTCTGCACCCAGGCCAGACTGCCAAGATTAATAATTCAGCTCTGCTGTGTGACTTTGTGTAAATTAGATAACTTTTCTGCGCCTCCGTTTTTTCATCTATAAAACAAAGATAATGATACTTACCCACAAAGTCTTTCATGGTAAATACACGGAATGATATGTGTAAAACATTATAATGCCTGGTAGATATTAAGTGCAATATAAACTTTTGCTCTTACTGGTGCTATTATTATCATCACTTTACAAGTGTCAATCTACTGATCCATAGACACTGAAGGTTAAGAAAATGTGTGTTCTTACCTAGTGGGGCACCTGTATATCCTAATCATGATTGTAGTCCTGTCTCAATTTATAAGAAGAGAATAGTGTCAGGGCGACTTTTCAGCTATTAGG